AACCCCGTTCCGAGGTCGTTCTCAGTCATTTCTCTCTGTTTTTTAGCAGTGACCCTAAAAATACTCCAGCTAATTATAGCCCGGTGCCGCAAGTGCTTACTCCTGGGAGTAAGGCAGCCCCTGGAGGGTAGCGATGCCGCTGGCATTGCGGAGCTGTGCGAGAGTGGATCCAGGCAGACGGGCATTTTTGGAAGGATAAAGACTTTGATCCCGGGGAGGCTGTGTCTGGCCTTGCGTGCGGGGAGGGATGGGGCTGCTCGCGGTACGTAGGAACAGGTATATGTAGAAGTCGTAATGGGAGTGGAGCTTAAATCATTTTAAAACATCAGCTAATTCAAATTACTCTTTAATCAGAGATAAAAATCTGTTGTTCATCAGTGAACTCTTGGCTCTTTTCGGTTTTCTATGTGAAGATATTATTTTATTGTTTGAAGAGCTTCCAGATTAGCCCACGGATGCCTTAATTTTCAGGTTGGCTTTACGTAATTCCAACATGAGGAGAAATACATATATATATGCGTATATACATGTCTGAATATGTATATGTATGTCAATATTTGGGTTTTAATTGTGGTACTGAATGATGATTTGTTTCTATATATTATATGCTGACACACTTGGAGTGTTATGCCACAAGAAATCAGACTTTAGGGGCAGGTCTGTTTCTACCAGTGGGTCCTTGGAACCAGTATATGCATCTCGCCTGCTTAGAAAATTAAAGGGTTGTGCAAGAAGAAGAAGAGCGTTTTTTTTTTTTTTTTTTTTCTTCTCCGAAGGGTGTAGGAATGGGCGATGTTACTGCCCGCTGTGGTTGGTATGTGCGTGTGGGGGGAACGGTTCAATAACATTTTCAGTAAACAGAGAAACACCGCCCCTGCATGATAGCATGGGGTGTCTGCTGCAGTTGTACGTTAAAGTCGGCTTGCCGATTGCAGTAGCATTTTCTGTGGGGAGAGATGCTTTTGTGAGTGGTGTTGTCTGTTGAGGCATTTTTCACATGCAGTACAGGGAGACATTATTCCAAAGCATAATTAGGCTGTATTTTTGAAGAGGAAAATATGAGATAGGTGTGATCCTAAAAATAGGGTGTGTTACACGTTTACAGACTGCTCTGTCATTTGAAGAAGATATTAAATATGTTCTGAGCCAAAAAAAATAGCGATGTAGAAGTGTATTTACAAATACAGAGGTTTGTTGCAGGTAGGTGGGAATTAAAAAAAAAAAAACAAAACCTACTTGTGCAGATATGTTTATCATTGTAGGTGTGTGATAAATAGATTAGAAATAATATGTGGCAAAGAATTTGTAAAAGTGAATTAAAATTGTCTAGCTGTAGCTCTTGAAAACAAATCCCTAATGTCACAAGGCATATTTCTGTGTTATAATTGTCTCACTGACATCTTATGCCTGAGTGCAGTTCAGTAGTAATGAAGAATTGCGTCTTGCCTCCTATTTGCTTTCTTCCTTTTAGCAGATTAACTATTCATGTGCAAGATTTCTCCTTCTCTGCTTAGCAGTCATGAACAAAAGCATGCACCAGTAGCTTTTTGTAGATGATTTTCTTTTATTTCTGGTTGTGAGTTTTGCACAGCCTTACAATTCAACTGGTCTTGCAACTCGCTGTGTATCAGCACCATGCCGTACTATGCATTATGAATATTACATTCTGTTTCCTTGTTGGTTTTGTTCTGCAGTTCTTTGTCATTGAACTAAGCTCAGGTTCCCAAAATCTCCACTGTTGTGTTGAATTAGTCGCTGTTTTTGTATGTGTGTTTCCCTGAACAAGGCTTGCTCTACAGCAGGACCAGCTTTTAGTTTGCAACCCCCGTGGTAGTAACTAAAGTAAGATGCTGCAGAGGCATGTTGCACTGCACTTACTGCAAAACTGAATTTGCTTGAACTTTAAACATAGGTTAGAGTATAGACATCATTGAAATTGTTTAGCAAATTGTTTTTCCAGAACCTGGTTATCTCACTTAATTTTATACAGCAGAGTTAAAATATACTTCATTCTTTCCAATTAGCACCACCTTTAAGCTATCGTCTTGTACGCTAATTGCTCCCCATTTTTCTTCAGTGTAATAATGAGTTTGTGAATGATGAGCTAAATACTCCTGGTTAGTGAAGCATGAAAGCTGAAAATAGTTTGGCAGATAATCCAGTAACTGATGTTAAATTCCCCAATTAAGAAAATTCTTTCTCTGTTGTCATCCACCCCAAAAGACTTGTGGACTTACAATTTTGATGATGGTGTGCAACTTCAACAAAGAGTTTTGCTCTCTGTGTGGCTGTGTATAGTGTCTGTTTTACGATAAAATCAGAGTGGCCCCATGTTGGTTATCTAATCAGATGGCTGTTTGTTCTTTTAAATGTGAAAAGCTGTCCTTTTTGTAAATCTGAAATTGCTGTTTTTCTTTTGTAAATGTCTTCTCATGAAAGTTAGTTTTCATATGCTGAAAATGCTATGAAAGGGTATAAACACCATAGCCAACTGTTTCTGGAACCAAGTCCACAAAAGGATGTAGATGATAGTTTTTCACTCTTGTGTGTCTTGCCACTGTTGTGGTGTCCACAGCCAAAATACAGCCTGTGGGCTTCCAACATATTTGGTAGATGAAGTTCTCCCCTAAGATTGAGATCTTCAACAGCCACAGTCTGTCAGTATTGTTTTAGAGAGTCACTGTAGGAGTTCCATTCAGGAGCTGGACAGGGTCGCTGCAGTCACTGCCCGTAACCACTAGGTCAGTTACGCTTACTTTTACCACCCAGACTGGAGGAATAGAAATAGCTTCAACAGGAGAGGTAACAGTTAGTGCCTGTCCTCGCTCTGTATGGCTTGGAGCCGTAGGCGTAGGAAGTCCTAGCAGTAATGATTTAAGACGACAAGAAAGTTGGACTTTGGTCCTTTGCGTTTTTGGATACATGCTAAACAAGGGAACTCTTGGAGAGTAACAATGTTCGGATAGATCTTGGCTTGCGTGGAGGACTGCCATCAGATAAAGCATGGAAGGTTGTCTGTTATTTGGATCCTTTAATGGAAAAGACATAGCAACGTAGAATGTTGAAGTAAACATCTTTCTTCTAGTCCTCCAAAGGAGGAAGATGACCTTGGGTCACTCTGAGTCATATAGATGATAAGCTTCAGTGTTGATTTGTAATACTGCCTTTTGAGATGCTGTATGAAAACAGAAGAAGAAATAATGAACAATGTGAAAAGATGAGTAGCTGTGGAAGCTGACCAGTAGTCAAGAGAAGTAAGATGGTCACTCAGACATGAGTGACACCTCAAGTGGAGTGGATGGTAATAGGACATGAAGTGCCAGCTGGTGAAGCTAAAAGGAAGTAGGGCTTTGGCACTGGGCATGTTGTCATTGGAGCCCAGCTGAAACTGTGTTAGGGGCAGAATGCAAAGAACCAGGGGAGAGGGAAGTTAGGGAATGGTGTTTTATAATTGGATATGTTTAACATCAGTGAGCAGTGAAGAGCAGAGCTGTGAAAGTTTCCACTTTTCATCATCCTTGGTATGTTTGTGTGTATGTGCCTGCTTCCCTACTTTGGTGAGAGTACCTCACTGCTACTGCTTTGTCTGCTGTGATTGACATCCGCTCTGTGTTTCATCCCTCAAGCAAACAAGGGGAGTGTTGCTGCCTTCCTCCTCACGTGTGTAGAGAGGCTGTGAGATCTGGCCACCCAGCTCTTCCCTGAATCATTTAAAAAGTTTGCTTCTCATACCCGCCCTGGGTGTCTGCAATGCGTTGTGACACTGCTTCACAAAGGTGAAATGTTGATGTTTGCCAAGTACAGAAGTTATGTGTGCAAAATGTAACGGATCTATTGGGAAACTTTTCCAGTAATGGTGGGAGTAATAAGCGTATCTGATGAATTAAAACCACCCAGCTTCTGTTTCTGATATTCCAAAAGGGAGATGAAGTACTCCAGAAAAATGTATTGATTACTAATTCAATTTAGGAGGAGAGATTTTTGCAATTAATGAAGCTGCTTGTGGCAGGAAGTCAGGATACAGTGTTAACTTTTGCTAAGGCAAATGTGATCATCCCTTGTAACCTTAGCCTTCCACTGCAGAGGTTTGTTACGGGAACGCTGGATTTCTTCTTTTCGTACCCCTAGTTCTCGAACTATGTGACCGGTTGGACCCCCTCTGCATATTTTTTCCTCCTTTGATAGTTTCTTTGTGTTTTTTCTCCCCATACAGAATCTGCTGTTTGTTGTTGTCATGCCTCCCTCTACCTTTTCATTTTTTCATAGAATTATAGAATGGTTTGGGTTTGAAGAGACCTTAAAGATCATCTAGTTCCAACCCCCCTGCCATGGGCAGGGACACCTTCTGCTGGACCAGGTTGCTCAAAGCCCCATCCAGCCTGGCCTTAAACACTGCCAGGGAGAGGGCACCCACAGCTTCTGTGGACAGCCTGTGCTAGTGCCTTGCCAGCCTCGTACTGTAGAGTTTCTTATATCTTTTGCATTCCTCTTTTTCAGCATTTTTTTCTAATAGCTTTTACACCGAAGTTCTTCTCTGTGCTAGATCCAGCTACTGTTGAATACCCTAGAAAAGAAACAGCTGAGTGGAAGGAACCTGTCTTTTTTGATAGGTGTGTTTTGAAGCACTTTGACTGTTGAAATTGATTTTCTTTCTTGGGCTGCTGTTCTGCAAACACTTATAGCTGTGTTTAAGCTTCCTACTATGAATAGATCCTCAAATGTCGGGTGAGTGGTTGTGTATGCTGTCGTATATATCATGAGCTCTGGAGGGCAGAGGTGGTAATTTCACGCTTCCCATACAGTGCTAAGCATTCTCATAAATCATTCTGTGACTAGATAAACAACAGCAATAGATTACAGTACTATCCATTGGCTCCTTAAAATAAACCAATGTTTTCCTTTATTAGACAAGAGTTATTACCCATCTGTAATCATGTAAAGCAGTGAAAGTTTGTTTTGGGGGGAAAATGTCTCCAAATAACTGTATTTATGAAGTTCATCTGTCTATCAGTATGCAAATATGCTCCACAAAAGACAAAAAAAAAAATTGTTCAACAGTATTGAAGTGTTGGGAAATACCTCTTTTGGAGAGAGAGTCTGTTAATGGGAAGCAACAAAAGAGATCTTGTTTTTGGAAAGCTCATATTGCATATCTTTTGTTAGTTTTGATGTTTCTCTTTGCTCCCTGACTTAAACAAACATCCCTTGTCCTCCACTGAAACTTTACTCTACCCCATCCATATGTTCTGCATATTAGCTGAA